CAATTTAAAAATGCCAAAAAGGGTTTTGAGAGTCTTTGAGTTGGCTTCGGGTTTAAAGCTAAATATGAAGAAATGCAAAATCCTAGGTGTTAATACGGATCCGTCTCTCTTACATCAGTGGGCTCAGGATGTCAGTTGTTTAGTGGAGTCCTTCCCTACGAAGTATTTAGGCCTTCCACTAGGGGCTAGCAGAAATTCGACATTAATTTGGGAACCGGTAGTGAAGAATTTCACAAGTAGATTGGAGGGATGGAAAGCTATATACTTGTCTTATGGTGGACGGTTAACACTGATAAAATCAATTCTTACAAGCCTTCCTATGTATTATTTATCCTTGTTTAGGATGCCGGCCTCCGTATTAAATCAACTAAACAGACTCATGTCCAATTTTCTTTGGGGAGGTAATTTCGAGAAACATAAAATTCATTGGGTATGCTGGGATTCATGTTGTAAATCTTTCGAAGAAGTTGGCATTGGCATTGTTAATCTGATGACTATGAACAGAGCTCTCCTTGGCAAATGGATTTGGAGATACGGTAACGATCGAGCAAGTCTGTGGAGACGGGTGATTCAGTGTAAATCTCCTAGAGGTAAGGAAAGTATCTTGCCTTCTTCAGGTAATCGCTATTTCTCTTGGATTTGGAACTCCATTTTACATTCCTTCAGAAGTGCAGACGGTATGGGTAATTGTGTGAGATTAAATTTGTCCTTACAAGTGGGAGATGGTAAAAATATATCCTTCTGGAATGATGTGTGTCTGGGTAATTCATCTTTGAAGAGCAGATTCCCCCACATTTATGCGTTGTCCACTAATCAAGAAGGATGTATAGCTGATTTTGGAAAGAAAGCTGAGATAGGTTGGAGCTGGAATATTCCGTTGAGAAGGGCTCCATTTGATAGAGAAAAGCCGATCTGGAATAATTTCTTGAACATCCTCAAAGACTTTAGATCAAGCGAATTGGAAACAGATTGGGTTCGGTGGGTGGGTTCAAATGATGGAGCCTTCTCGGTTAAATCTTTAAGGAAGTTGTGCTCGAGTCCGTTACTTGCTAACGATTTTTGGAAAGACTTTATTTGGATTGGTTTTGCCCCCCCCCCCCCAAGGTCGAATTGTTTGGTTGGTTGATTATGTGAAAACGAGTTTCGATTAAAACTGAACTTATAAGGAGGGGTGTTTCCTCAATCTCTAACAATCTTTGCTCTTTTTGTCTAAATTTTCCCAAAAGCATTGAGCACCTCCTCTTCTCTTGTTGGTTCAGTTGGCGGATTTGGATGAGCTTTTGTTCTGAATTGGGAATATCTACTGTAATGCATAGTGACCCCAAGGTGTTTTTGGAATCCTGGGGAGCAATGGGCCTATCTTCGGTTATCCAGATATGGAGTTGTATCCCATTCGCAATAATATGGATTATATGGTTATCTAGGAATGAAATTATTTTTAAAAGTCCATAGATTGGTTGCAATTACTTTTCTTGGTCAAGTTCCGCCTTGCTTCATGGATTAAAGCGAAATTTGTTGATTGCTCTATCCATTTGGATTCAATTGTCACTGAACCCCTCCTGGTTTCAAACAAGATCTTTAGACCAAGTAATTCTGTGGTTTCGACTAAATGGTCTCCTCCTCCGATAGGACTTGTGTAACTCAATGTTGATGGGGCGGTTGCACCCGGTGGTTATAATGCTGGTATAGGGGGTGTTAACGAATTCGGATGGTGAGATATTGCTTCAATTCTCCGAACCATGTAACGATTGTTCTCCTGCACTGATAGAACTATATGCTGTTAAGAAGGGTCTGGGTAAATTCCTTGATTCTGCTTGGTTTAAAACGAATAGGTTAGTTTTGGAATCAGATTGCAATTTGGTTGTTGATTGGTTATCATAAAATCTGAACCTCCTTCGAATATTCTGCCCATGGTTTTGGAGATTTCTGCTGTCATTAAGGAGTTAGGCATAGTCGTTAGATGGATTCCTCGAAGATGCAATTCATTTGCTGACTCTCTTGCCAAAGCTGGTACTGGATAGCACTGTTTTTTGTAGGGAAGTATTATCGGGGTGGCAGTGTGTTTTCTTGCGACCATGGTGGCTGGGTGTTCTATTCTCTCATGGTCTACTCCAGTTCTCCTTGTCCCTATCCAATTGAGATATGTTTTGCTGTTATATAGCTGGTAAATCGGGGGCTGGGTTACATGGATGTTATTTGTATGGTGGTCCCTTAAAGGTTTTTACTAGTGATATTTCCTTTGTGGTTTATGTATGTAATTCAAACTTATATTCTCGGTTTAATGAAATCAAATGGAGCACTCTTTTCCCTTCCGTTGTAGTGATCGAGCTATGTCTTGGTCGAATTAAGAAGAGGTTTTTAATGATGTTCTCTTTTACTTTAAAAAAACAAATTATAGACAGAGGCAAGTGCGCTAAGCCCCCTAATATTATTTTGAAAATATGATTAAATTTTTAATAAGCTAAAAGTGATTATAAAGTAGTACATGTTATAATTACTTTCAATCATTTAATAATGAAGGCTCAATCACCCTTGTAGTTGCTAATGCTTAAACCAATGACTTCTAGGAATAACAACTCCTTTAATCATTGAGATAAGTTAATTTGTGCAAAAATATGATTAAATTTAGTTTAACGTGATAAGAAAAAAAAAGTAAAAAAAATATATATAATCATTATTTTAAAAAAAATAAAATTAAAATTTTAAATATTCATTCTCAAATTTCTACATCAGCAACTTATTATAGCGGTAGAGGGATATTTTTTTTTAACACAAATGATCAAGGAGTTGCACTATGAAATGGAAGTTAAGGAGATAAACCTACGGAATAATAATAATTAGGTTAAAATGATAATTACAATATAATATAAGAACAAAAATAAAATATTAAGCCATTAAAAATTATTATTATTTTATTAATTTTAAAAAATTATTCAAACAAGTATTCTAAAAAGGGGTAAAGTACACAAATGGTCTCATGACTATAAGATATTATTTTGATGAGTCCCTTAACTATTAAAAGTTATAAAATGGTCCCCTAATTATAGAGAGTTGCTTTATTGAGTTCATTGGCTATTAAAAGTTACAAAATGGTTACCGACTATTCATCATGTTTCAAACTCATCATTTTCCGTTAAAAAATTAACGACAATCTGAGTTGGACGTGGTTTTGCTAACTGCGATATGATATAATCTGATATCATAATCTCAAACGAATATCATATCTAAGTCAGCAAGTTAACATTTAGTTCAAATGACCATTAATTTTTTAACAGAAAATGATGAGTTTGGAACATAATGAATAGTTAGGTGACTATTTTGTAACTTTTAATGATCGAGGGATTCAATAAAATATCTCTCTATAGTTAGGGGACCATTTGTGTACTTTACCCTTTAAAAGTTACTTATGATTATTAAAGAAGCGTACCTCTTAGATAATTAGAAGAAAAATCTCCATCATTTTGCAGAGGAAGTTAAATATTTTATGTTTCGAGAATTGGCATTGAAACTTCATATACACAGTCCATGTTATATGCACACTTCGTACCATATAATACGTTTATTATTGATTTTTTAAAATCAAAATTTTAATTATGATTATTTTAAATATTTTAAATAATTAAGTTTTATAAAAATATATTTAAAACTACTTCTTTAGGGTGGGTTTGTTTGTAAACCAATTACGGAATTGGTTTTCCCCGAAATTCCGTGTTTGTTTCATGTAATTCGTTTTTCGAAAATGTTTTCCCGTGTTTGTTTCACGTAATTCATTTTCCGAAAAATATTTTCCCGTGTTTGTTTCACGTAATTCGTTTTCCGGAACGTAATTCATTTTCATAGTAACAGAATTTCCTTTGTGTTTTCTGTAAATGACTTACGGATTCATTTTCCGTAAGTTATTTTCCGAACTTTTGACTTCAAAGCAAAAATACTCAAAAAAATTTATTTTATGAATTTAATATTAATAAAATATTTTAATAGCATTTTCATCAAAATATTAATTATTAAAATATTTAAAATATATTTATTAATATTATAATAATATAATTATTTTTAGTTTAGTAATATCAATTATATTATAATAATAAGATATTATATTTTTTATTTTAATAATATATAATAAATTTTTTATATACTTAATAATGAATAATATTTTATATATTTAAATAATATTTTAGTAAAGATATTTAAATATACTAATTAATATTTTTAAAATATAATATAACACTATTACTTTAATAATTAATAATATAATTTATAATATTTTATTTCACTAAAATATATCATATTAATATTTTTATTAATAAAATTATAAAAAATATTTAATAATAAAAAATTATTTTAATATTTTAAAATAATAATATTAAGTTTTATGAGAAATAATATTATTTATTATATTTAATATTTGTAATAAATAATATTTAAAAAACTAATCAACTAGTGGAAAAAGGTTTAAATAACATCTTTCAAACATCATAAAACGTTTTCCAGATGTTTTCCATAAATGTAATTCATTTTCCAGAAATGTAATTCATTTTGCAGAATTCAAATTCCAGTAATTCATTTTCCAATAATTCAAATTTTAGTAATTCAAATTCCAGTAATTCATTTTCCGGAAAACCAATTACATGCAAACAAACAGACCGTTAAAATTTTTAAAATATATATCTTTGTATTTTTATCAATAATATTTAAATAATAATAAATCAAATTAAAAATTTTGACAAAAAAATCAACGATGAAAAAATTTAATAGGATAGAGAGAGTATAATATTAATATTTACATCATTGTATTATATATTTAATTCTCATAAGATATTATATTTACATAATATATAAAATTAAAAATAAAAGAAAAACAATTTTATAGAATTGAAAAGCTAGTTTAACTAGGCAAGTTTAGACCTTCAATATTTTTTTATTAAGACATTCTCGAATACTAAATTAACCTTCGAACTTATACGAATAACTCGAATAACTCGATCCTCAAATCGTATCTAAAGACGATGATATATGTTGATGGTTCACTTGATTAACGAGCTACTGCCTTGGGCTTGCCAAAGACTTTCGAGGGCTTGGACCAGTCGCAATTCATCACCATTTTGCCTGCTTCTAGTTGCTGACTGGCTATTATGTAAGTGACCGGTGCACGATCGACTTCGCCTATTGGCTTACCTTCCGTCTTCGGCTTTGATTCGGTATGCTCAACAGCTCCAACAAGCCCTAAAGTGTCTTGCTGCCTAATGCTGTGCCAAGAAAGCGCTGCTTTACGTTTGATCCTGTGTGTCCAGAGAATGCTGTTCGTTCTCCACTTTTGGACCTCGCTAAGAGAGAATGTGTTTTTTTCTCCGAGTTCTTCTCTCATTCGTGGAGCAAAGAAAGCAGGCTTTGCCCCAGCTACTGCCACCCTTGGGAGACCAAAATAGTTACCGGAGGAAAGGGATGCGGTCTCCCCCTTGGCCATTGGAGAGGAGAGGGCGGAGAAGACGTCCCTCGCACAAGTTTTTTTGCTTCCTGCATCTTTACTATACAAGGCGCTGTTCGACGAAGGGGACATTTTGGTAGGAGGGCCAACTACAAAAGACGCCGTCGATCCAGAAGAGAAGGAAGCTACCTTCCTTTGATCCACCATCCCGGGCAGGGAAGAGAACGAAAATTGGCCACGGATACTGGTCGTGATAGGATCAAGGATCTCGAGCGGCGGAGTGAACTCCTCTACCGTATTCAATTTCTTCTGGCAAACACTGACCCCCTCGATCCATCGTACTAGAGCGATCCAAGAAGAACGATTAGGGTCATATTCTATCCTTTCCACAATGCCCATAGACGAAGTGCTTCGTTTCAGATCAATTCTTCGCTGCGATCGCTTCGATCCACCCCCTCGGTGAAAAACCGTAATACGCCCCGAGGAATTCCTGCCAGCAGACTTCCCTGTACCCAAAACAAATTGTCTAAGTGCCCTCCTCTCTACTTCTATTGATTCTTCTGAGCCCTTGTTGGCTTTCCCAGCCCGGGCAGCAAATGTTCGTTGACCGACATGAACTGTCTCCTTGGCAACAAGAACACTTCTTAATGATCTGATATGAGCTAATGCCATGACTTTACCCCTGCAAACATTATGTAGAGATGGTTAAAATTATGCAATGACCTCTGCTGGATATCGGAATGCATCCGATTCGACATGTACCCAATTCACAACCATGGATGGTTATCTACAATTAGAGTGCCAATGTTCATTCATGAAATCAAAAGCTACTAAACGATGAATTAAGTAAACAAAAGTTGAGATTTCTTTGTATAAGCTTCTCCTCCTGGAAACAGTTTATTACCAGAGATGCCTAAAGAAGATGAAAACAATATGCAGAATCCATGAACTCACAACATTTTCTTCAATATATTTAGCTCATATATCTTCATTCAATTCCAAACGCCAAATGCCCAAGGAAACAAGATCTAAGGCTTCTTCAAACCTATGGAGAACTAAATCAATTCAACAGAAAACCCAGAAAAAATCCCAGTAAAACTTATGGAGATCGATTGGGAGGTGTATGGAAACAAGAAAAAAGCCTCCCTTTTTTTTCTGTTTGGATTCTAGGAAATTTATGGTACAATGTAAAAGATAAAAATACCTTTCTCGAGAACTCTTAAAGTTGAAATCTTTGCAATATTCAAGTGTAGGAATTTAGGGTTATTTTCTGAAATGAAAGAGCTTCAAGCGGAAGAAGAAGAAGAAGAAGAAATTAGGTTTGGGTTAGTTTGGGCTCATTGTTTTAAAGCTTTAAAATAAAGATAATAGCCCAGTTTTAAAAACTTTCAACTTTACATAAACCCCAACTAAAAACCCTCATTCTCCCAAAAGAAATTAAAAACCCTCGTTAGTGAAAGCAAATTAATCAAACAAGGAACTCCAAGAAAATGGGAAGCAATCAAGCAGAGGTTTCTTTCTTAACCAACGTCGCACGCGCCGCCTTTGGTCTGGGGGCCGCTGCGACAGTCCTCAACGCCTCAATGTACACCGTGGACTGCGGCGAAAGAGCTGTGATATTTGATCGTTTAAGGGAGTGTTGGATAAAACGGCGGAGGAAGGGACTCACTTTTTGGTTCCATGGCTTCAGAAGCCCTTCATTTATGATATCCGTATGAAGCCTCACACGTTCTCCTCCATTTCTGGAACATAGGATCTCCAGATGGTTAATCTTACTCTTCGTGTCCTTTCTAAACCCAAGGTAATTATATATGAAGAACTAAATTTTGATTACAAATATCATTTTTGGATGAATTTATGAAATGGGTTATATGTATGTATTTAAGTTTGTATGATGAATGTTTGGGGTTTAGTTTTGTTCTTCAAAGATTTAAGGTTTAATCTGTGGTGTTTGTTTGTGAAAAAAGGAGGATAAGCTTCCTAAAATCTATCAACGCCTTGGTCTCGAGTACGATGAGAAGGTTCTTCCCTCCATTGGAAATGAGGTGCTGAAAGCTGTGGTTGCACAGTTCAATGCCGACCAGCTTCTCACCGAGCGTCCCCAAGTGTCGGCATTGGTCCGGAATTCACTAAGACAGCGTGCAAGGGACTTTAACATCGAGCTAGCTGATGTCGCGATTACGCACTTGTCATATGGTGCTGAATTCTCGAGAGCAGTGGAGCAGAAGCAGGTGGCACAACAGGAGGCGGAGCGGTCTAGGTACGTTGTGATGAAAGCTGACCAAGAGAGGCGTGCTGCTGTTATCCGAGCAGAAGGTGAAAGTGAGGCTGCAAAGTTAATTTCTGAAGCCACCCAGACTGCTGGTATGGGGCTGATTGAGCTTAGGAGGATCGAGGGAAATCGCCGCAACTCTTGCTAGGTCACCTAATGTGGCATACATTCCCGGTGGGCAGAACATGCTTCTGGCAATGAATCCATCTAGGCCATGATGGTAATTTCCTTTTCCATTCCCTACATATGTTGCATGTCATTTACAGTGATCATTACTTCCTTGCTTATTATCGTTGCTCGATAATCTCCCGCTCTCCGGTGTTAACCAAATACGATACCTGAATACTCTGTTTGATACCCAAATAACCGACGAATGGCATGTGCTTTTCGTAGTGAATCCTATTTCAACTGCAACTTGATGTAGCTATAAGTAATAATTCCTGCAGTCATCTGCTCTCCTCAACTTGGTGTAGGCTCATGTGATTATTCTACCTTCATGGAAGGCAGTATGTCTAATACTACATTTCATGATTCAGGCCTTATGGCGAAAGATCAACTACGGTTTTTTACAGATGTTTCACAGGTTCTGCTCTTGTTTTTCCTTTTGGTGGTTGCAGGATATTACGACACGGAAGGAGGCTCTGCCGGTTGCGAATTCGGGTTATCTCTTGCATCAGTGATGGGAACTTTGTGATGTTTGAAAGCGTCTTATGTCTAGGAAAAAAGAATATAAATAAAGTTTTTGAGGAACATGTCTGGTTTTTGGATGTCCAGTCGGGGAACATATGCCTATTAGAGTTAGATCCTAAGCTACTCCTTAATCCTACACGTGTGTTTGGTTTCTTATTGGTAATAGAATTCTTCAGAGGGATTAGTTGAATCATTATTGGTGTTCATTAGTTGATACTTGAAGGAATTTGCAAGACTGATGGCTCAGTTACATCTAAAGTTTTATCTTTTCATTGATTAGAAGTCAATGTGGCAAAAGACCAAGTATATCCTGTAACAAGACAACACGGCAAACGTTTAGTTGATTTAGATTAATTCGATAATTATCAAGTGTTCTTTTAATTCAATTTTGTTTTACCTTTTCATTCGTAAGCTAAAAAAAATGATAAAATTACGTCATTAGTGTTTAAATTCCTTAAAATTCATAGTTTAAATTTTAATTTTTACCATGTCTTCTATTTAGTCCTTACTTTCACTAATACTTAAAATGTATATATATATAAATAAAAGAAAAAGGAGAACCGAGTAAACGAGTTTACTTATGAACATAAATAAACGAGTTTATTCGTGAACATAAACGAACCGAAAACACATTTGTTCGTGTTTATTCATTTATTAAATGAACATAAAAATTTGTTCATACTGTTTATTTAGCTTAACAAACAAACATAAATAAACGTTATACGATCGGTTCATCGAACGCTCTATTCATTTAGAGCCGTAGGGATAGATGCATGTCTTGGTGAGCATCAGTTGATCTGTTCTAATGGTCAAATGGTCCTGTTAACATATCAATCCACAATCCCTCCTGATTTAACAGTATAAAGGAGTTGAGCATACATTTTGAAAATTATAATCACAATTAACAAAAGGATTACAGTAAAAGTTTGTAAATTGTCAGTGTTAAGACTACAGAGCATTGAACTTGTATAATTCAAGTATTGTACCTCACAGAATATTCCTAAAACTTGGGAATAATGATAAGAAGATTACATAGCATGCAAACAATTTTCTGTAACACAGATCTCCAAGTAAAGCTCAACATTGTTCACCCTAGGTTACTGTTCCACATACATTTCTTCACGCCAATAATTTGTCATCAGTTTCTCAACAATATTCTTCAATGCAGGAGCGCTAGTACTGCACTTCTGTTCAGCAAAACAAGATTTGCCTTCTTCAGCTGCCTTGCAAAGCTGTGGATCCAATGGCACTTTCCGAGGAATGGTACTCCCATTTCTGTACACATTTTTGCTGCATCACCACCACTGCTATCAAAGACTTCAGTGGTAGCTATGAGATCTAGCATTTCAGGTGCTGTCCCCCTCATATACTCGATGACCTTCTCTGTGAGATCGGTATGTTCACCATTCTCTGTCATCTTCAAAAACCTGAAATCTGTCAATGGTTGACACAAACCACTCATGTTCTCAACCATAGTTGTAAAAAGCGCGCCTGAGGCGCAAAAGCGCAGAGGCTCACTGAACGGGGCTTTTTCAACACTGAAGCGAGGCACATAGCCTAGGCGCACCTAGGCGTAGTGAGGCTCGGAGGCGCGAGGCTCAGTCGAGGCGCGATGTGGGCTTAAAACCTTGTAATTATTATTGGCATCAGCAGCCTCCTTGAACTCCTTGTTCCTCATGAAGTGTCTGGTTGTAATCGTCTTGAACTCTTGAAGTAGCGCCTCGAACTCGGATTGGTTGAGATTCTTGTTGATTTCGGTGTTAAAAAGGGTCTCCATCTCATCGAAGTCGGTGGAGTATAACCTCGGCGTCAGAAGGGTCTCTTTGATTACTGTTTTGGCGGCTTTCTTGCCACCCTTGACGACGATCTTTGTTGTTGGCTGCGAAGTGGATGACATCATGATGGTGGTGAACTTCACATAACGTGAGTTGGTGAAGATTGGAGTGCTTGAACTGAACTTGGAGATAGGCTTTACGAGTGCCATTTCAGTTGCCATTTTTGGTGAAGACGATGAAGACAAAAGCTAGGATGTTGAAGGAGAAGCTGTTTGAGTTATAGGCGAGGGACAGTTGATTGAATCTCTCATCCAACGAAATCTAAGTCTGTGAATCGAATACTGACACGTGTGATCTTCATTATCACATTATTAGCAAAATGCTACTTTAATTTTCAACTCTACTAATTTCACCAAAACCCCACCATTGGTTGACAATTTTGGATATTTAGTCTGGTATAGTTGAGACAAGCTTTGATGTATATCATCCATACATTATTACTACTATAGATAATTTTATTTTTGTGGCCCAAACAATAAAATAATCAAATAATATATGATTATTAAATTTTACTTTCTTTATTATTTTATTTACTGTATATTTTTTAATATATTCATTAAACTTTATACATTAAGTTTTTTTTATCGTTCCATCGTTTTCAAGGTAACATAATGAAGACAGCTTATTTTAGTATTAAAACGAACAACCTTTTAAGACCCCTAAAACCCTCAATCGACTGTCAATCAACCTTCTAATCCACACATACTAACCTATCGATCGACCGCTTCTTCCTTTTCTTCGACTGACGACTGCGACATTAAACATCAATTTTAGCGACTTGATTATACTTGTTGATAACTTTTATGACGTTAGGTTGGTATTTTGAGTTTAAGAATGAACTCTATTGAAGCCTAATATTGAGTATCTATGATATTTGAGTTTGATTGCATTAATATATACATGTATTATAATTTTTTGGGTATCATGCGCCTCGCCTTCATAAATCCCGCGCCTTTCATGCGCCTCGCGCCCCAAGGTTCCAGGACACTTTTGCGCCTCGATACGCCTCGAGCCTTTGATAACTTTGTTCTCAACAACACCAAGAACGGGTACTCCGACTTTTTTACAGAAACTAACTTCTTTACGCACATCAATCAAAGAGACTTGCTGTGGCGTAGTGACTATGATTGCTCCATCTATTCCAGTAGCCTGTAGGAACTGAACAATTGAGATGTGCTCATCAGAGGTCCCAGGAGGGGCATCAACAACCAGAAAATCAAGCTCTCCCCAGTATACATCTTTGAGGAATTGTTTGATGAGCCCATTTTTACGCAGTCCTCTCCAAATGACAGCCTCATCAGGGTTGGGAAGCATGAATCCAATTGACATTACCCCAAGGTTGGACTCAACATAAACTGGAGACCGGCCAAGGTTGCTCTGGTGAATGTCTTGACCTTCTAAGCCAAGCATTTTCGGAAT